TTTGTAGCCCCCCTCCTCTGTGGCTGCCGTCCTCACCCCATTTGAACTCTGACATTGTAGGCAAGGCATTCACTGCTGTCTCCTCCTGCCATAGACATCCTTCTCAACTGCTTGGACTCTGCCTGGCCATCCTTCATGGAAGCCCTCCTGTCCACTTAGGCTCTGGCATCCCACATTGGACTACCTTCCAGATGCTCTTTTTTAATTGGGTTCTAATACTTCTCTAGTCAACTTCTTTCTACTGACATAGATGCTTTCATTACCCAGTGCCAGGCCTTTCCCCTACTTATACACCCTTCTTACCCCTTTTGAGTTCTGACACTCCAAGCCAGGCCACCTCCTGTGTAGACACACCCTCCTTATTCTCCTGGAGCCCTGACTTTCCCTTACCAGGGAACCCTCCTCACCCCACTTAGGCTCCAAAACTCTGTGCCAGTTTGTTCCACCTGGGGATATTGTCCTCTCCATGCTTGTGCTGTGACATCCTGCTCACGACTACTCTTCTTGCAGGTGGTCACCTTTCTCAACTTGGTCCGCTTCTGCCACCATTGCACCCCATCTCTCTCTCTCTCTCTGTCTCTCTTTGTCTCTCTCTCTCTCTCTCTCTCTCTCTCTCACACACACACACACACAAACACACACACACACAAACACACACACACACACCCCTCTACCTTGCTTGGGCTCATTTAATGGCTTTGAACTGAACTATTAGCAAGTGAAGTGGGAGAGCTTTTTAAAATTTGTAATGGTTTTCTATTTTAGTACTTAAGACACTGGAGTGGAATCCCATCATATACACACTATTCCAGGTCACTCGTACATGTGTGGGAATGATTATACTGAAAGTCCATTCAGTGGAGTGAGATTAGAAAAGTGAGTCATCTATCTATCCTCTGTTGGACTCAGTTTCTAAGTTCACCTGGAGGGTAAGCAGCTCACCAAGCTGACAGATTTGAACAGAGGCAGTTTTCATTCAATAGGTCCCCCATACTTGGGCCATCTGCTTTGTTTCTATACAAACCAATTCTGCTGTACATTGGAGTCATCTTAAGGGAATTTTACAGGTGATTTTGACTGTGAGCCATTTGACTCTATGTGCAATCTCTGGGACCTGCCCCTGCACTTCACACAAAGACTTGTGATAGCCCACATTAGTGAGGTCATGTGTGTAGGAATACTTGAGTGCTGCCTGAGGTCTTCTCAAGTTTAAGAATTTATATTGCCTCACACAAAACAAAAGCCTCTTCATTTGACTGTCAGGTCAGGGAGTAAGGACAGACCCTGGGACAAAGTTACCTGACCTATGATTTGGCAAGAGAATCTCGGATCAAGGCTGGTGCCTGGGAAGCAGACTTTTCCCATTTTGGCTTTTTCCCATCAAGGCTCTGCTGATTGGGTCATGATAATGCTCCTTTTAATTTAATAATTTGATCCAAAAGCCTACGCTAAATAAAACACTTGGGAAAGCGTTCCAACCCCCCACCTAAACTATTACTCCTTGTTGTATATGTCTTTTTCCCACATAGGACCGTGGCCTTCTTGAGTGCAGGGACCCTTTGTGATTGGGACTTTTGGCCCCAGCCTTGGACTGAGCCCACCACATGTTGATGCTTTGCATTGCAAACTCGAGCAATTGCATTAAGGTAGCAAGTGGAGCAGGCGCCGTCCTTTAGCCGTCCCAGGAGGAGCAGTGTAATGGAGTGTTTGTTTCCTGTCTCTGGATTGGGAAGCAGTGTTTACTCCATGCTGACAGACAAGTACAGAATGGAGCGGAGGGTCTCCATAGCCTCACCTGCACCCTTGCAGGCAGCGTGAAGCTCTTGTGTCCGCACTAATGAAGCAGTACAGGAAACGCCACTGGATAAAGTTCAGCTGTGAACCCTGGCCTCCCAACAGGGGAAAAGAGGGATCCTTTGAAGAAGACAGCTGGGTTTTGGTTTCAAGACCTTAACACTGCCATCACTAGATATTCATCTGTCAGTGCACAGGGGACAACATGTGGGGAACAGTTGTGTCCAGTCAGGCTGAAGGAAGAAAGAGATGGCTGATTTCCAGGGTAACTACAAAACCGCCCGTGGCTGAGGGTTCTGCTTAGCGTAGCCAAAAAGAATCGATTTGGTGAGGTCGAGGCTGAGTGTGAGAACCTGGGCACAGTCTGCTGTGGGCTGGGTGGCCGTACCACGTCAACCTCCTGCATCCTCACAGCCCGGCAGGACGCGGAGGTGTGAGGTTCTGGGCCCAAACTATGTTGGTCAGTTGAACCTAGTGGCCAAAACTGCTTCCTATATACCACAGTCCTAAGTTATCAGAGAAGCCAGCCTGTCCCAAGTCGCTTGATCAGGACTTCCTAAAATAACTTCAGCTTTTCTCTCATTTACTTGAAGCCATGGTTTCCTTACAAGAAAATATTTTCTCTTCTTGCTTCCCCTCGACCCCTTCCTGCTGGATTTAACTAGTGGTATTTTTTTCTTTCAGGGAAAAAAAAAAAGATATTTGTAATCCTTGGTTGAATTTGTTTGCTACCAGTCCTCTAATCTGGGCAGGAGTTTTCTTCTGAGGGGATTTATTGTTCCTTCTATAATGGCTTTTAACTCAGCCGAGGTTTATTTAACAGAATAGGAAGGGAGAAACTTATCTCCTCCCTAATCCCTCTTGAATGTTTACATTACTCTGCCAAAGTAAATGCTGTGTAAAGTGGCAGCAGTCATTTGCTCTGTAATGATCAATATGCAGCTGCCAGAGCTGATTGAAACATATTAACATAAGTGATAATACTGTCACAGAAGTGAAAAGTTAAGTTGCTTATCAGTATATTGTGATAAGCTACTTAAATTTTACAGTAGCATGTGCTGGCTTCAGACAGACGTTAATGACAGAGAACTGTGCACTTTATCTGTCCTCTCTATTGCCTCTCACTTCATTTATTACCCTCAACGGTACAGCTGGTAATCTGTCCAGGGCGCTGATTTCCCTCTGCTTGGCAGGATGGAGTCAGTGCTCCACTCTATCAGTAACGGATACTGTTAGCGCAGCGGGGCAGATGTGAGCAGGTCAGCAAGCGCTTGGTATGACGCTCCTCCCATATGAGTATTTGATATTGCTTTGGAAAAGTTTCTTATGGAGAACAAAGCCATTTAAATTTTTTTTTTTTTTTTTTTTTTTTG